TACGTACTGTTTTCGTGTTCTCTTAGTCTTGCCTGCCTTTTGAATTTCTTTAATGTTTCTTTTTAAATTTTCTTCAGACTCTAAAGCTGCAAGGGAATCGACATATGCAGAAAGTGCGCGCACAGGATAAGAGCATGCACACTCTTTCCCATTCTCATTTCTCAAGCAAACGCAGTTCGGACAGAGAGAGAGAGAGAGAGGAAGAAAGAGAAATATGGTTTTTTTATAACAGAGAGAAAGAGAAAGAGCTTTTCTTTCTTGTAATTTGTTGAGTGTGTGAAGTGATGATGAGGGAGTGGGTTCATCGAAAGGTCGGTTTCTTTTCGAGATAAAAACAACAGAGACCACCCGTGCTTCGTTTCGCGTGCTTTTTCATGCTCTAATGCCCCACTTCTATTCTTCTTTTCTTCTTTCCAGATTTTGTTATTTCACTTTTCTGCTTAATTCAATTGGGTTCTTTTTTTTTTTTTTTTTTTTTTTTTCTCGGAAAGTTAGATTCCCATCGCATTTCTGCACTCTCTATTTCTTCCCTTCTTTTCGATTTCCTCTTGTTAGCTTTCTGAAATGCAAAATGGGACTTGTTTCCTTTTTTCCTTCTGTCATGTGGATCTTTGGCCCTTTTTTACTTCAATCAACATGAAGCTCTCTTCTTGACTTCTTCCGGGTGGCTATGGCTTCCGTTGAAGACAATATCAAAACAAGTGTTCTACTTACTGGGCCTGCACAAACTACTCTGTTCGAGGAGATGAAATTGCTGAAAGAAATGCAGGATCCATCTGGTTTGTTTCCTTCATCATAACAAACTTGCCTTCAAAACTTGTGTGTGTCTGTTTGTTTTTTTTTTTTTTTTGGTTTCGTAAGTAAACATTTATGTTTATTTCCTAAGAAGTGTTAATGGAATTTATTTGGTTTGGTTTCAGGGGATCGAAAGGCTATAAATTCGGAACTATGGCATGCGTGTGCAGGGCCCCTTGTTTTCTTGCCTCAAGTGGGGAGTCTTGTCTACTACTTTCCTCAAGGACATAGCGAACAGGTTTGCATTTATTGTTGGTTATTCATTTCTTCTTGGAGAAACTTACTTTAATATTTACTGTTTTTACAGTGTTATTATATTTTTACTTAGGATTCAACTAGTTCATCAAGTCGAACCCAAATGAGTTTGATCCAAGTTTAATAACTTAGAGATCGTAACACTGACACTCTAATTTAATCATGGTGATTGAAAATTCAATCTTCTAAAACAATTTATGCCGGTTCCGTTTTGGCAATCTTGTCCGCAGTACTAACGGACATCATTTTTTTTGTTTTTTTTTGGAGCAGGTGGCTGTTTCCACTAAAAGAACAGCTACTTCCCAAATCCCCAATTACCCAAATCTTCAGTCTCAGTTGATGTGCCAAGTTCACAATGTTACTCTACATGTATGTCTGTTCTGGCTATTTTTCTCTGCCATGCATGTTTTTATTATATAATGTGCCACAACATCAATAATCTTTTCTCCGTTGCATATTTTCTTGATAGGCAGACAAAGATACAGATGAAATTTATGCTCAAATGAGTCTTCAACCTGTGAACTCGGTAAGCCTGCTATTCTCAAATGCTTCTGGTATTTTCTGCATGCACAAGTTTTGTCCTCCTTGAAAAAATTAGGGGAGCAAGTTCCTCCCATTGTTTTCCTCATTCCCCTTTGTCCCCCTAGAAAAACTAGGCTGAAGAAAATTTTATGCCCGACAAACTTCTCTTACCATGGCATTTGAATTAGGAAAGGGATGTTTTCCCTATACCAGATTTTGGACTTAGACTCAGCAAGCATCCGAGTGAGTTTTTCTGTAAAACTCTTACAGCAAGTGATACAAGCACACATGGTGGTTTCTCAGTGCCGCGTAGAGCAGCAGAAAAGCTCTTTCCTCCATTGGTGAGGTTTCATAATGATCTATGAGAACTTGGAATGTTGCAAAGTTGTTGTGGTATTTAACATTGTATTTTTGCTATTTAGGATTATACAATGCAGCCCCCAACCCAAGAGCTTGTTGTCCGAGATTTGCATGATAATACTTGGACTTTTCGTCATATATACCGCGGTCAGGATGCTTTCCAACCTTCTTTCCTGCTTAAATCTTAGTTTTACCTTATTATGTGAACTTCTTGTTGTGGAATTTGATTCTTTATATTCTGCAATAGGCTTCTCCCCATCTGTTATAGTAATTTTGTAACCTTATGGTTCATATAAAAGTTTACATTCTTTTTTTCGATTTTCTCCTAGAATGAGCTGCATAATTTATCTTTTATCTGTATTTGTTGTTTTATGCAGGGCAGCCAAAGCGGCACCTTCTCACAACAGGATGGAGTATGTTTGTTGGCTCAAAAAGGCTCAGAGCAGGTGATTCTGTTCTGTTTATCAGGTAATCTATATTATTCATATTCCTTCAGTGTGATATGCCTTGAATACTGAGGAAAGGTATGAGAAGTAGAGATCTATGATTGGGTTGACCTTCGC